TTTTTTGGTTCTGAAAAGGTGCCAAGTAGGGTATACTGGCGAGAGCTGTCGAAAACTACACTGTGGGGACAAACACTACGTCCCAGGTTGCCATGGAAACTGTAATTGCCAATATAATGCAACATGCTACGAGAGAGACTGGTCATGTGACTGCTTACCGGGGTGGACTGGGAAGAGTTGTAACGATTCCTGTCCAGATGGTCGCTATGGAATAAACTGCCAATCAAAGTGCACGTGTGAAAACAGCACCTCATGTGACCCTCAGACGGGAAGGTGTGGCGGTAAGTTTATATCTTTTTGGAATTTTATGCTAAGACAAATGTGTTAATATGCAATACTTGTCTCTTTTCTTTTCTTTTCTATTGTCTTTTTCCTTTGGATGAAATATTTCTTTTCTATTTTTTATCTAATTGTTTTAATTTCTTTCCTATTCTTTTCAACCATTCTATTTCTTGTAAGTATTTTAGTGCAAAATAATACTATTCAAATAATAGCTAGGAAACGAATTTATTGCTGTTTGTAACAAAAACGTCAACGTTTTACTGAAACGTTTTACGAATTCCTCGTATGAGTGACCACGAAACAATGGTCCCAAGTCGAGGTTAGACTTGATGTGTTCATACATTTACTGTATTTTATCAAGCTCAGCCTCTACTTGTAGCAATAGACCTTTCTTGAATTCACTTCAGTGACCACGAAACAATGGTCCCAAGTCGAGGTTAGACTTGATGTGTTCATACATTTACTGTATTTTATCAAGCTCAGCCTCTACTTGTAGCAAAGTACTTTCTTGAATTCACTTCAGTGACCAGTAAACAATGGTTTCAAGTTGAGGATAGACTTGATGTGTTCATACATTTACTGTATTTTATCAAGCTCAGCCTCTACTTGCAGCAATAGACCTTTCTTGAATTCACTTCAGTGACCAGGAAACCATGGTTTCAAGTTGAGGATAGACTTGATGTGTTCATACATTTACTGTATTTTATCAAGCTCAGCCTCTACTTGTAGCAATACACCTTCCCTGAATTCACTTCAGTGACCAGGAAACAATGGTTTCAAGTTGAGGATAGACTTGATGTGTTCATACATTTACTGTATTTTATCAAGCTCAGCCTCTACTTGGAGCCAATGTTTCTCGCCCGTCACTCAAGTGAATTCGCACTGAAAGGTATAGTTTTGAATAAAATGGTTACTTTTCTTTTTTGAAGACCTTTTGACGACCTATACTGAAGAAAGCAAACGAGCTCCTAGATTTGCTGTTCTACTAGTGATAGCCGTAATTCTCACGATCACAGTATGTCCTGCGTTTTACATAATAATGATATTTACTCCCCTCTCTTCGGGAGACACAATTCCAATGCAGAACTTTGAGGAGAGAACCGCCCTCGAATCGCCATCACGCTCAGACGATTTCCAAGAACACAGCACAGAACAAATTACAGAAAACAGGACAGCTGAAAGATCTCGCGGGGCACGGGAATCATAATGCCGTCTGGAGGGCATAACAGAGAACACTGCAGTGACAACCTGCCATGAAGTGCAATCAGGTTCAGGAGATTCGCAAGAATCTATAGAGGAACAAATTGAAGAATTGGCAAGTTGTCATTCTTACAAAAAGAAGGCCGAAAACGCAACACCAACGCAAAGGGGCGTCTCGTGGCCACAATACTCAAACTACAGGCACCAAAGAAATTCGGCAGCACGCAGTAGTTCTACAAGTTTTATCAACCAAGCTTTGATAAATGAAGATAAATAGAAAATAGCGAAACCTATACCTGCCAGAAACCAGAAACCTATACCTGCAGATAACTTAAGTTAAAAGAGAATGGAGGCAATTCCGAATAACTGAATGTTTTTCAGAACATGCGTAATAGCTAAATTACGAGCCTTAGATGAAACGACTGAAGAAGAGGGCCAATGAGCCTTTCACAACTTCAAGTCGCATAAAAAATGAACCAGCTCAACTAGAAACCGCGGACAGCTGTTTCGGCCTGTATTGGGCCTCGTCAGCACGGTGTATCCAGTGAGCTGGTAGAATCCCACGAAAAGTAGTACATATACTACTACTGTATATATGTTTGTAAGATGATATAATGATTCAGATGTAATACACCTAACGGTAAATGAATCATAAAAGTGTATGTCTAGACTTAAGCTAGTTAAAGAATAAAACAGAAGATATAACTAGCTAAAAACTGTGAGCTGCGTCGGTGTTTCTAATGGAACAGTAATGATGAAAAGGTAAATTATACACCGTGAAAAGATGAAAAAACTTACTGACGTTTCGGACGCTAGTCCTTCGTCGGAGTAAAAGMGAAAGADGTGGTAGAAAGGAGTGTATATATGATAGAATAAGACAAAAGAAACCAATGAGAGCAAGGTAGGCAAGGAAACAAAAACAAACAATCAAAAGACAAAAGAAAAGGTTAGTGAAAGTAAAGCGTTCATTGATAAAGAATAAAACACTGAGCTTTTTCCGTCCTTCTTTTTTCTGTTTTATTCGCTTTATTACTTAGTTACTAATTTTATTTCGGTATTGAATTTATTTACGCAAAAAGAAAGTAGGTCGCAGGGATCTAGCAGCACTTCGCGTGCGCAGATGGCGTCAGCACTTGTGCTCCGTTTACTATAATAAAGCATAGTTTTCGACCAATCAGTGCGCACGTACTATCCTAACTATATAATAATATCCTCTTAAATCATTAAAATGAATATCGTAAGTGTATTTTAGCACAAAATGATATTTACAAGCAAGAAATGAATGTCTTAATCAACTCGAAATTCAAGCTTTGCATTTTCTTGAACAATCTTATACCAAATAATTCCGCACGCAATGCTCTGGCTAAATTCACTAAATGTCTATTGTTCTTAATTCGGATTTATGATGCAATAAATATATAACCTCTAATAGGAAGTTTGCATGATGCGTCATTGACCTCTACTATACCAGACTCCCTTGCACGCTTTCTTTTGTTCAGTTAATTAGCACCAATTGTCTTACTATTCTCATGAGGGAATACAAATTTGAATAAGAAAGAAAATTCGCCAAGCATTATGGTAGTGGGAGTCAAATGACGCCATCATGCAAACGTCCTATATGTGTCACTTTTCTTGAGTGTCGATAGACTATTGATTAATTACGACTAATAATCGATTAGTTTATCTGTCATGATATGATGTCATCAACACTGTCCACGCTCATCCTTCCTTTTGCTAAGTCGATGGCAGACGCGACGACTTCTTTCCCGCCACTTTTGGACGGGCGCGTTTCTTTTTGGATTTGGGGCGAGTAAAGACGTGTGACGTAGCCTCCCTGGAATTATAAATGTATTAAACGTGACGATATGAGATGTAGATTGATATAGTGCAGTTTTCGTATGACTGTGAAAAGTTCACGGCACGAACATGGTCGTGACACAGCAAGGGATACGCCAGACAAATCACATTGCACGAGAATTTACTCTCCATCCAATCAAATACCCGGAACACGGCATAAACAAGGCGCGGATACGGTCACGCAAAGGTCACGGCAATACAAGACCAATCATGTTGCGCGTAAAAAAATCAGCCAATTAAAATTCTAGAAAGTATCACGGCACGTTACGCTTACGGCACTGAGCTTTTCACAGTCATACGAAAACTGCACTATGATACGTAAAGTGAGTAAGTAAATAAAATAAGAGAGCGGGAAAACGCGAAGAACGCAAGCAAACAAGCAAATAAACAAGCACAGGCGTAGACAACCAAACGAGCAAACGAGCAAATTTGACAAGCAAGCAAATGAGTAAACAAGTAATCAACTTAGCAAACAGGCAAACAAAACAAGCCAACAAGCAAATTGACAAGCAAGCTGGCGAGCAACAAACAAGTAAACAAACAAGCCAACGAGCCAGCAAGCCAGCAAGCCAGCAAGCCAGCAAGCCAGCAAGCCAGCAAGGAAAGAACAAACAAGCAAGTAAACAAATAG